TTTTATAACCATAAAGGCTGGGCTGCTATGTGGATTTTTACTAGGCCTAACTAACTTGGCTTCTAGCAATTCCTTTATCTGGTCTTTAAATTCTTTTTAATCATCAACACTATATTTCATGGGTTTGACTCTAACAATAATGTCTGGATTAGTTAATTCTATTTTCGTCTTAATTTTATCTGTATTCCATTTTTCTAATGGATTTTTAGAATATGTTTCAGAAATTTCTTTTTTCAGTTTTTCAATCTTATTTTCTGTTGTCATTTTTAAGACTGTAACTGATTTAAATTTTTCTGTACTCCAACATCCACCACGCTAGGTTGAGGAACTCTGATGGTTTATATCTGTATATGCTATTGTAACAGTTTTATTTATTTTTGGTGTAAACATTTTATGTGCACAAGGTGTTGTGAACATATACTTATCAATATATTGTGTAAATGGTGCATATTTTAATAGGAAATTTTGTCATAATAAAATATCACATCCAATTGTGGTTGACATATATATTGTATCAACAAATACTTCTTTAAAGGAAATTAGAAAAGATACTTGCGTAGCATATTTGCAATATATTACCTTATTTTCACCTGCTGTTGTAGCGGTGACTATCTTCTTTGAATTGTATATCCAGTATTCAGATGGTAGAACATTTGGTAAGCATAAACTTATTGTACTTTCTGTATCTAAGTAAGCATGAAATCTAATTCTACAATAGCTTTTTATATTAAGTGTAATTTCAATATATGGACTCATGGGATTAGTACTTATTACTCTTTCCATGATAACAATGATTTCATATTTTCATCTATTCTTGATATGATGATTGGGTTATCTTCAACTGTTATCTTTAAATATCATTGACAGATTTTATAAGGACTATATTTTTCAAGAAAGTTCACTCCTAATAAGATAGGTGAACGATCTACTCCATATAATTCATCTTTATATAGAATTATTTTTTTAGTATATTCTTTTTGATCCTCTCCTATAAGTATAAGAGGGAACTTAACATATTTTCTTATTTCAAGATTATTTCCTAAATAATCCTTAAATATATATGGTTCTGGTATTTCAAAGTCTATTAAATGACTAACAAACTTAGCATTTACATTACTCTTATCTGCTCCAGTATCTATGAGGACAAGAAGATTCTTCTTATATCCTTCTTGATTTACATATCTTGTTTTAATGTAATATTGCGAACTTGATGGTTCAGCAATATTTAAATTCTTAAATCTGTTTATCCTAGAGTCTTGTCTAGAGGAAAATCTTGCAATAAGATTATCTCCTTCTAAACTGACACTATTTCTTCTTATTAATTTTTCTTCAGAATTAATTTCTCTAACTTGTTTATGGAAATCAAGCATTATTTGTTCTGATATAGTGACTTCATGTTCTTGGTATTTCCTAGGAGGTGTATTTTATGCTAATTCCTCAAAATCTTTATGTATGATAATATTATCAGTTATTTTTCTTAAATTGTTATGATGGCTAGTACTAAAATCAAAAATTGATTTTATGCTTATACTAATAGCCTTACTTCTTCGTAACATTTTCAAGTTTCTAATTCTATCGTATAGATTGAAACTTCGGTCAATATTTTCATCATTTAATGATATTGCATAATTTGATTTTACTGTAAATATTATATTCTGATAGACTAAGTTTCCTACAACTGTTCCTAATAGAGCATCTATAAGATCTTGTAAGATTCTATTGTCCATACAATATATTTCTATTGGTATATTCATACCTTCTCTAAAGAATCCTTTTACCATTATCTGAACTCCTCCTATTTCAATACATTTTAATTTGTTTCTTACTTTTTCTGGGATTTTGGATAATTTTTGTTTTACTCATTCTTTTGTAATTATAGGAATTCTTGCTTTTCCTATAGTATCTTCTAATTGATAGACGGTTTTTTATAATTCATACTTACAATTGTTTTATTTACTCTTGGTAATATTCATAAGAATTCTTGATGAAATATATCTTTTTCTTGTAGGTCTAATATCTTCTTAGTAATTCCTGTGTATTTTTTAATATCAAAGGTAATTTCTTGATTTATACCTTTTATAGAGTTTTCAACTTCTTCAATTGTTTCTATTTCTATTTCTGATTGTTGTATTTCTTGATTCATATATACTATATCCTCATAATCTTCTTCTGATGAGGATGTATTTAATTCATAAATGCTACTGCATTCACTACTTAGATCTTCAAAGTATTCAATTGGTTCTATGTCACTATCTTCTTAAAATTTTTCATAAATTCTAAGAGTTTTTATATTTTGTCTATCTTTCTTTTTACGACATTGAGGGGCAATGTGTCCTTCTTCATTACAAATAAAACATCTACATTTCTTAATATTTCTTGGTTTAAATTTTTTATTCCAATTTCTTTTCTTGAAATATTTTTTATATGGTTTAAAATTCGTTTTCTTGAATTTTTTGTAGTTTTTGAATTTTCTTTTATATTTCTTATATGGTTTATACTTCTTTTTATGGAATCCAAATTGTTCAACTTGGTCATTATCTTTGTAACCACATAATGAATTCTTTCTTATTTTATATGATTTTTTATTTTCTAGTACTTCTCTACACCATATGCCTATCATTCTTTTTGTAAATTCAATTCTACTTCCAAAACTATCTATTTTTATTCCTTCATCTTCTCTTGGAAGTAATAATTTTTCATATTCTTTTAATAACTTAATTCCTCATGGGAATGGTAACTTTGTAAAATAAGATCTTAATATAGGTTTATTTTCCTGATAATCTCCTTGGTTTAATATATAGTATATTTCTTCAAATTTACAAGTATATCTTTCTAATTCACACATATCACATATCTTTAAATTTTTCATTGCTATCATTCCTTGATTATATTCATTTTGTTTTCTTTCTTTATCATTAGAAGTATATCCATCACCTAAAAATTTCGTTCTTAAGATTTTTTAAAACCTTTTTAATATCTCCTGTATATTTTGTTCATTTAAAGAATTCCTGTTATCTAATACCTCAGTTCTACCTGCTCCATATTGTTACCATTCCTTTAATAGTTTCTGGTAATTTTCTCCACCATTCAGAAACAATTCCTCTAAATGTATGTTCTATAAATTCAAAAGCAGTATATGTTTCCCATTTATTAAATTGTATTGCTAAATCTGTACTTTTCATCCATATTTCAAGAGCTTTATTTTTATCTACATAGTCTAGATCTAACCATATACCTGTTGTATGGATTGATTCATTATAAGATTTCATTGGGTTTATTTCTTTTATGGACTGTTTTCTTATATTTTCAGTATATCTTTTTTGTATTTTTCTATATTGGTAAATACCATCCTTATTAGGTATTGGGGTACTATAAGGATAATCTTGTTCTTCATCATTACTGAATTCTACTTTTATATTTTGACTTGAAGATGGATTAGTATTCATCTTTGTATTTTCCTTTTTTTTCAGTTAATTCTTCTAACTGTTTTTTATATTCTTCATACTCTTTACCAGTAGACTGTAAGAATTTTTGTTCTATTTCTTCTACATCTGTAATCATATGTTGTTTTTCTGCATGATTTTTCCCTTTATTATTTTCCTTTTGTGTTATCCTATAATCTTGAGGTGGATTAATTATAATCTTATCTTTTCCTTTAAGATTTTTATCTATTAGAGTATTTCCTCCTTGTAGATTATATTCTAGATTTTCTAATTTTTTATATATATCCTCAAAACTTTCATTTGTGGTGTTTTTAGATAAATAGGGATAACTAGGTTTTTTATGTTTTTCAAGTTTTTTCAAAAATTCTTCAATTATATTTTCTTCATCTACTATATTCATCATAATTTTTGATTCGTAACATGACTCTGATACCATTTATACCAGAGTGCACAGATCACACTCACTACCGTCCGGGTTTACGGAAGCGACCCTATCTTGACAGCAGTATAATGATACCTATCAGAGTCCTTGAGTTGCCATGGGTCTTCCAGGCATTATTCAAATCGGGGGCGGAGAGTCAGTAATTACTGCATTTCCCTATAAAGTTCCACCCGGATACATAATCATGCATGCTCTAATACCATTTATACCAGAGTGCGCAGATCACACTCACTATCGTCCGGGTTTACGGAAGCGGCCCTGTCTTGACAGCAGTATAGTGATACCTATCAGAGTCCTTGAGTTGCCATGGGTCTTCCAGGCATTACTCAAACCGGGGCCGGAGAGTCAGTAATTACTGCATTTCCCTATAGAGTTCCATCGGGATACATAATCATGCATGCTCTAATACCATTTTGTCGGAGTGTGCAACGGAGGGGTTTAGATTTTTGAGCCAATTAAAATCTTCATAAGTGTTTAAAATATCACAATAGAATTTATAAAATTCACTATTTTTTATTAATACTTTTTCTTTAATAATTATATTTAGTTCTTTAATTCTTCTTTTCAGGTTAAGAATTAGTTTATATATATTATTTTCTGTTTTGATTGTACCGTTATCTATAGAAACATTTTTAATTTTTAATTTTGGATCTAAATATTCTGTAAAGAATCATTTTAGATCTTCTTCTAAATAATTTAATTCATTTTTTGTTGCATTTTTTAGACCAATAAAATTTTGTATAATATTTGGGTTTAAATTTATTAAAGATTTTTTATCTATATTTCTTTGAGGACCTAATTGAAGGTTTTTATACATTGTAGTGACTTTGGTTGCAATTTCACAATAAGGGGTATTTTTGGAAAATATATTGTTTAAAAGCTATTCTTCAAATATTTATATTTTTTGGCCTAATCTTACAAACTACTCTAATATTTAGACTATCTAGAGGTATTTCCTCCTCGATTTGTTTCAAACTTATCTATATGTAATGTAGCATGCTTGTTGAATTTGTTGAAGACTATACACGCATTGATTTGTAATAAGAATATTCATACAATTAAAATTCAAAGAAAGCTAATTATACATTAAAAAGGGATTTAAAACTTTCAGATAATTAATATTGAAACAAGCTATGATTCATCATTACAATTCTCAGGTCAAGAATATTGTACTTCAAGTTACATTACATCAAATGCACAAGGAAATATCACCGATTACAAAATTGTACATTGCAAGATGTTCTATTATCGTATATGCACACGAGGAAAAAGGAATGACTATTACAACGTTGACCGAGGAAAAGAAAAAGGCAAAAACACTTATGGGACAAATCATGCTTCGTTGATCAGGCAACCTAGTACTGGAAAATCGATAAATTTGTTTGGTTTCTATCTGTTACCTTATCGTCCTCCAGACAACTCAATAGCACTTTGATCGTGAATTGAATTGTCTCCCCATTCGAATCTTCTCTGCAATCTCTCGTACTCATGCCTCTGTGTCACTTCCGTGTGTTGCCACTCTTCCCACCTCTCTGCAAGCCCTTCTCCTTCAAGCATCCGGACGACTTCTGACATTGCTGGGCGATCTTCTGGTGATGATTGAGTACAAAGCAATGCAACCTGAATCATCATCTCGACTTCTTGGATGACGTAGTTTCCATTTAGGTTGCGATCTATGATAGAATCCAGACTTGTCTCCCTTTGCAGTTTCTTAACCTTCAAGGCAATGTACAGAGGATTGATTGAGGAATAAACCAGTCATATCCCCAAAAAGAAAGAAATGTGCAACATATTGGTGCAACTTGGAAAATGTAGAGATAATTGTTTTAGCTTAACTAGTTTTGCAAGTCCTCTTACCCTGATAACTTCTACCCTCCCAACTTCTAACCTCCCATTAAATCTAAATAACATAACGACCCATCACTTACCTGACTCCCAAAGCAATGATGAAGGAATAAGAAATCTGAAAATGAACAAGGAACACAGATTTAAAGTGGTTCACCCGTAATGTGGGATCTAAGTCCACTTGCTGCTACAGATTTTTTATTGTAATGATGAATGAGATTACAAGGTTTACTCACACATCGGTTTCTCATCTCATTACAAGGATTCCTCACACATCGGTTTCTTTTTTATTGTAATGACGAATGAGATCACAAGGTTTCCTCACACATCGGTTTCTTATCTCATTATGAGTCCTTTATGTCATATAAAACCAGGTCGGTCCATGAGGGAATAAATAAACTACATAATTAGGCTCCACACAATCCAACAACCGGAACAGAATCCACAACCACTACCGTCAGCACCATTTTCACTTCCACCATAACTTTCCACCACCACAATGTAAACCACACAACAATAGATAGGCCAAACATTCATGATCTGGATCCCTCCACCGCCATAGCCACTTGCATAAAGTCCGTCAGAAACTGCAATTTATCCCTCCTAACTAGTCAATGAGGGAAACCCATTGATCAACACCTATATCTTCTCGTAAACTTCAACGCAAGTATGCTAAACTGTTTGTGCAGGTACATGCATTAAAACATGTACGTAAGTAGACGGATAGATTGATACTCATAAAAGCATATAGTAGTCATAGAGATACACACATGCACATGCACTTGCATAAAGAAAATTGAGAAAAGAGATGCAAAATAACATATGATTGCTATCTTACATGGTCAAGCAGCAAAACATCATCTTCTTCTTCCAAGCGCGAAAAGTCTATAGCCCGCTGTCCTGTTACAAGCTCTAAAAGCATGATCCCATAGCCAAAAACGTCCGTCTTTTCTGATGATTTTCCGGTCGACAAGTATTCAGGAGCAATGTGACCCATTGTACCACGAACTTGAGTTGTAACGTTAGTCCTCCTCACGTCAACTAACTTTGCCAAGCCAAAATCTCCAACGACTGCGTCAAAATCTTCATCCAGCAAGACATTAGCAGCTTTGACATCCCGATGAATAATTTTAGGATTACAATGCTCATGAAGGTACTCTAATCCACGTGCTGTGCCCAATGCCACATGTTTTCTAGTAGACCAATCGAGAACAGGCTCCCCAGGTTTGAGCTCTGTATCATAATTCAGAATAATTGTTAAGAAGATTGAAAGTGCATGCTCAAATCAATCTACTGCAATTTCTACATTAAAAAATCATCTCAAAAATGTGGTGAACAAATTAGAAAACTCAACCTGCACCAGTCTTGTGCAGTTAATTTTTGGGGATGAAGATTACCAGAAACAGCCTAATTTTTACAATGCTATACATTTTAATTTTGTGAAATCCTTGATCTACAATTTTAATCACTTAAGTTATTTAGTAGACACTATGAGAGGCTTCTTGCTCAGTGTAAAAGGGTTTACAAGAGCATGTCAAGGTAATTTGCTCCTCTGCATTTTTTCTTTTACTAGTCAAAGTTGAACGTACATCGCACATTATTCTAAAATACTTTATAAGTAATGTAAAAGTAATATTGGGTACCAATTTGTTGGAGAATTTGATGAGTTTCGAATGAATTAAAGAAAATAAAATTTAGCATAGAAATTTAAAAAAAGAAAATTGTACTCATATTGTACTCTCAAAACTCAATTTCTATGATTCAAATTCTTTGTAATGATGAAATACTAAATGAGCAATCTTTTTATATTACATTTGATTCATAAAAATTAATTGTTGACACATAAATTTAAACACTCATTAAAATTTTTAGATACATGAATATAAATAAATTAATCTATAATAACTCTAGATTCATGTAATTCAAGTTTTATCAAGTGAAAATTCATTTGATCTAGATTAATATGAATGTTAATTAATTGAGAATTAACAATACAAATTTCATAGATGACAATAATTTTATAGTATTTATTACATATCGAAAAACGAAAAGTAAGATATTATTGAAATAAAAAGATTGTGAGGGTTAAAATCTTCCAACAAATAATTCTTCCTTGATGTGATATTTTAATATATTATACATATTAAGCCATTGTTTGGCCCCCATTTTCTAAATCTCATTTTCAACCCCTCATCTCATGGGGACTCACAATATTTATCAATTTTCAACCACACATTTCATCAACTTTTATCAAAATCTACTAAAAATCTTGTTTTTATCTAAACTAAACAGAGGCTAATTAAAAAATTAAAAGGGCATATAAGAAAAATAAAAATGATTTCTATTATGTGGTTCACAATATGGATATCATATAAGATTTACAATAGACATGGCCTTTTTCACATGAGCCATATTCTGCTGGTCAAAGAAAGAAAGCAGGTTTTCAAATATGCATATCCCCTAAATGGTAAATCAGTCATTAACAGAATATGTATTAACTTCCACAGAAATAAATTATAGGATTGCAACTGCAATGATGGATAATTAATGTAATTGTTGAACCACTTTATCCAAAAATTTAATATGTTAGATATCCCTTCACATATCCCTTCACGTGTAGGTGGGATTTGTTTTTACACAATTAATAAAATGGGTGGCAACAAAACTTGAACTCAAGACATTCACCCGCTCTAATATTATGTTGAACCACTTGATCTAAAAACTTAAACTTTTAGATAGAGCCAAATATATATCATTTAAATATTATTTGGTAATAAAAAATACCTCGTAGACGAGAGGCAACACTTAAATTTTGCATAAAGGGATAAACCAGAAGGCGTTCTGTCGGCGTAGTGCAAAATCCAATCAATCGTAAAAGATTTTTGTGAACAGCCACGCTTATCATCTCAACTTCACGCTGGAATGCTGTATCTCCACCAGGACTCTCAAAATCGGTCAAACGTTTAACAGCAATTTTCGTGTTATCTCCAAGCATTCCTTTATAAACCTTCCCAAAACCTCCCTGTCCAAGAACATTCTTTTCGTTGAAGTAGTCTGTAGCGAGCTGCAACTCTCTCCATGCAAATCTTTTCAATTGCCCAAATTCAATTCTCTGGTCAACTTCACCTGTGCGTGCAAAAAGAAAAATAACAAAAGACTAGCAGATCAAATGTATTTTGAATTTTGAATTTTCAGCAATTCAAAAATATTTCCAAATTCCAGTAATGAACTGGTGTGGGCTGCTCATAGATTTTTAAGATACGAAAATCAATCGCACAAACAAAACTAATGAAATATTTATACACCATGTCTAGATCATAATTTGAGAGCCTAATTATGATTCTTAGGAATTGTGATATCTTTCTGTAATTTAATTTAAAAAATTGTCATGACAGATTACATTGGAAAATTTCTCTCTCAATACAACACCAGCTCAAGAGACAAAACTGGGAACAAGTACTTGGCAGATCTCATGGTACGTGTAGTTGTTGGAACCATTTTGTCTAAAGGCTTCAGACTAGATTTATTTTTTCATTAAAGACTTACCATGTGCAAAATTTTATAAATGGGTAACCCAATAGTGAAACTCACATGGGAACTTCGCTTGCTTCAATACCATGTTAAACACCTCATCTAAAAAATTAAGTTGCTCGAAGGGCACACATTTATTTATTCAAATAGTCAACATCATTTAGTAACATCACAATAAGCAACACAAACCTGCAACGTCTACAAAAACTTCACGCCCGTAGCCTCCATGCCTACTCTTCCACATGCAGAACAGGAAAAAGCCCCCAAGAATAAGAATGGCTATGAGTGCACCAACAACCCCAGCAATCACGCCAGTCTTTGATTTATGTGATTTACCTGTGAAGATATCAGTCTATGACTTCATGTAAATATGTTTTGTATCTTTTTATCTTATTTGAAACACCTTTTCAATCTTCTTAATGTTTCATTTTCCATTTTCAAGAAGAAACGCATATATTCGAATGTGCAGCTCCTTTATTCAGCCCCCCTGGTGTTCTACAACCTAGAGAAGCAGTAGCGTTTGCATATATGATGCATATTTTTCAGAACATAAATGCTACTACATTTACCTATAACATCAGATTCACAGCGGTGGGCAGAATTGATGCCACAGTTCAAGTGGTTCCCTGAAAAACTGAAATAAGCAACTTAAGTTAAATTGTTTTGATCTACAAAATTGGGTGGGAAGGAGCAAAGGTGATAACATTCAATTAACAACCGTGCTACACGACCAGTGTGGATAAACGCGGGGGATGACCGCACACACACACATGGGGGGTCGGGATTATTTTATTCGCACGGGACCCACGCATCCCATGTGAGGGCGCAGTCATCAAGGGTGTCATCCATGCAGGTCGAGTGGCATTATTCATCAATTAATATCATAAGTAGCAGTAACACCCATCCCCGTGTGTGTACACACACATTTTTGTGTTTATATGTGCAATGTATATAATACAGAGAGAAAGTTCATACTTGTATCTGGAAACCTGAACTAATTCATCAGGTATTTGGCCACTAAGATCATTCGAAGCAAGCTGACTGCAAAAAAGGGTTTTATCAGTGCCATATAAAACTGGATAGGTAAGTGTGGACAGGTTCATTGCTTAACGTCAAAGATTCCATTTGATGGGTGATAAGGCTCTGAAATTCCACAAGTAAAAACGTTTAAGTTTCCATAATATACCATATTACAAGACACTTACATGCTAACCAAATTTGAAAGATTTGACAGTGATTCAGGAATTGATCCCGTGAGATTGTTTTGACTTATAATCCTGCTTGCATGAACAAACATCTTACTTCTGATAAGATTAAAATTGGGAAGATGCTGATGAAATTCTTTCAATATGCTTACAAGTAAGTGAGATTCTTCAGGTTGCCAAGGGAATTTGGTATTTCTCCAGTCAAATGGTTATTTTCCAGATTCAACATCGTCAAATTTGTCAAATTTCCGAACTCCTCAGGTATCTTACCATTTATACCATTTCCTTGCAATGATCTGCAGCAAACATCCGTATCAACTAATTGATTGTGTAGGCAGTTCAGTAAAGACATCTCAAGTGGATGATAACAACACGAGTATTTCTACTTTATGTCTGCTAACATATATTCTTTTTGAAAATAGAGATTTCTTCTGTAACTATAGTTCTTGGAAAAAAAACTAACTGTTTTCTTAAAAAAATTGATGACGGAAAAATGATATAGTGAATCACAAGATAAGTACCATCACAGAATCCCCTTACAAACCTCATTTGCATCACAATCAACACCTGAAGCTTAACACTGTACTTGTTGATGTACTTCAAATATCAAGACAAACTTTAATCTCTACGATTTCCAAAAGATGAACTCAAAAGTACATCATAATGAGTCATAGCTCATTAATGTCAAACTTTCCAATTTAACAACCCCCTCTCTGTGGCTATGGCAAATATTTAGGCTTCATAGTATCTGGTTTGGAATATTAAATTCGTTTAAGCGTTCCCTAAAAGTCCAAGATTCGGATAGCCAGACAAGTCACCAAGGGTCTCATATATAACATGATACGATCAATTCTTATGCAGCAACCCTCTAAGAGTACGATAGTATATTCTTATTTTTTAAGGGCAAGTCATCCATGGTGGATTTGCAAGTAAAATTTAATCCAAGCAATATTAAAATAAACATGCAGAGGCCAAAAGAATTGATTTGTGAGAAAATGTTATCAATGCAGAAAAGATGTCATAATAAAATGACTCTACGAATTAGTATATCTTAATAGATAATGATAATAGGAGCGTATAATATTATAAATAGAGAAAAAAATTTCAACATAGCACCAAAATATAAAGACCTACTCAGATTTTTATTACTCTCATCAAAGATAAACAAATATATTAATTTCTAAAAAAACAGAGAGAAATTGCATCAGGCAAATTATGGTAACCAAAACTAGAATAATTTACACAAACAACAAACTATATTGCTTCAATTCCTACACATACAGTGACTGTAAGGTCGTCAAAATCCCTAATCTTGGTGACAAGGTTCCTGAAAATCCCATATTAGTCAGTGACCTGCAAAAAGATACATGATCGTGCATCACATCTTACTAATCAAAAAATAAAAATAAAAAATGATAATCATGCACTACCAGCTATAAAGCTGGAAGTGATGTAAGGGACAAAACCGTTTCTGAATGCAGCAACTTCTGACATTCAGGAAATGGTATTTAAGCAAACACGTATTTAGGAGGAAATTTTGTTATCATGGTTTCTTACAAGGTGGTAACTTTGCTATTACTGTCACAGATAACTTTGGGCCAAGTGCACGGATTGACTAGATTCGGATTCCAATCTGTGAGCTGAAAAGCATTTAGTGAAACCTTCAAAGCATACAATGCATCTCCTGAAACAGGTGCCAAGAATATGAATTATCCCCTAAAGTAATTTCGCCAAACACACACATTCAACTTTGAAATAAGAGGCCTAAAATTCTTAATCTCTAGCTGAAGGTCATTTTATTGTAAAAACTAAAAGATAAAAAACCAAAATGCAAAACAGAAAAATGTGAAGCGAGAATTGAAAACCAACATGTCTTCCATTGGGGAGAAAGGTATGTAGAAAATTGCCTCGTGAAACCTTTCCGCTCATTCACTCAATATACAACTATCACTTCCATCAATAGTTCCCAACCTATTATAATAAAGTCAAAAGGATACCACAGGCCATCTTAATATGTTCTACTTTCTTTTACTGATATGAGAACTCGCAATGAGCAGAAAGAAAAAATGAAGCAAGATATAAAAATGACTGTATATTCTACACCTGTTGGATGACTTATAAAGTGACAATAAGAATAATACCTTGGGCATCAGGTGAGACGAAAGAATACAAAGACGCCAGTGATATAACTGCAATAAGCAGGTCCATCTCCATTAATGCCATAGCAACTGATCTAGATCAAGTCAGAATCTGCTTCCAGTCATAACTTCATACATTGCCCTTTTTAAATGTATGAGCATCCAGCCTCTGCCAAGTATTCAAACAATGCATTAAAAGCATTAAAAATTTTATTTAGCTACAAAAGCTAAAAATGTGATACTATCCTAAAAAGGCAAGTGAACAGTGATATCAAACATAAATGGATGCGTGGGGAAAAGGATGATGGATAGAAGATTGATTGTTAAGCAAGACCTGTATTTATGAAAATTTGGTAAGTTACAGGTCATTGCTTTTGCCAGGCGGAGATAATCTATATTTATTGATTTCTTAAGAAGAAAAGCTTCTAGGATCAAAACCAATTTAAAGTCAAATAAAACTGAGAGGATCCCCATTTAATTACTCAAGATCCCATGGGTAATAATGTGTTATGGACTAAGCCTTAATCCCTGCTTACACAAGCAATAAATTAAAAACAAGCAAAGCTAGCATACAGATGTACAGTGATTCTGTTAGAACATCTCTAATCATGGAGTAAAATAGATTTAACTTGTGATTTAAATCTTCAAAGTGGTTGGAAATCTCTCCAATGGAATGATGCAAAGAAAATGCAAAGCATTTTTCGGCATAAAATGTAAAACGCTCATAAGAGGCAAAAAATGGATTTAGATCGTCTAGTAGAGTTAAATTTTAATTTAGATCCATCAAAATATAAATGATGGTGTAGAAGTAGTTTTGGAGATAATAATTAACCCAATTTTACACCATCATTGGAGATTCTTTTAGGGAATAAATTACATATAAAAGTATTAACTAGCATATATGGACTTGAGATACTCCTCTTATTCCTTTCTAATATAGAACCTCAAGACCCAATATGATAGATAAGCTCAAACAAAGAATTTGATCAGTTTAGAGCTGAAACAAGCATTCGGCTTTCAAGATTGGTGTGCTAAAACAAGTCACAAACTTGCAGTGGACATATTAATGGTAAAATTTCACATCGATTAAGTATACAATTATTCACCAATCTTTAAGGGTTTGCGCTACCTTTTTTAACAATCTTGTGAATGTAACCTAAAGTCTTAATATGATATTAAAGTCCATTAAGCTCAATGAGCAATTCAGTCTGTTTGCAGCTCAAAGTGAGATGTTGGATTCTAAAACTGATTTTCACAAATGAGTCATCATCTCACGGGACATGTTAAGAAGTAAATACCACGTTTGTTGAATAAACTAACATATAAGAGTTCGTGTTACTCCTACTAATAAGGTTGATCTTATAAAAACAGAACCGCAAGATCCAATAATTTAGCCCTCAATGTGAGAGGTACTTCAATCTGCCAGCTGCAGTTTCTAACTATAATAAAGGAAAGGAGTACGTGTCTTCTCACATTTGCCACACACCAAAAATGGCCCCAGGTAAATCTTTACACCAGGAATATTAGGATGAATCAATACATGTGTAATGCAAGGCATAGCCAAGATTCCCTTAAAAAATCACTACACGGTCAAGGGAACATATGTACAGTATGATCAGGCTCTACACGAACAGAATTGTATGGGAGTTGTCCTCGGAGGGAGTTCCACCAAGGAAGTCTACAGTACTCCATGCCTCTATACCATTAAATCTATGTGCAACTTGAATGAAATATTATCAAGTTTGAACTTGGATAGGCCGACAGAGAATCCGAGTGAAAGAAGTAATGAAAGTATTACAGTAAGATCATTTTCGATGGTGGCTAGCAGGTTCTCAATCAGCTAGCTTTACATAGAGTAAATGACCAGATTAATCCAGAAGAAGAAATTGGGAAAGATACTCCTATAGAAGTCCTCAATTTAACACCTAATGAATTGAAAAATGTCCCGAAATCTCCTTCACATAAAGCAAAAATCTTGACAAGAATTAAACAACTAAAACCATCTCCTCAAAATCTCCAACTTTCACTTTCCAATTCCAAAATCATGAGCATATTACAGACAACAAATGTTTCTCTCAAGTATAAAAACGAGCATATGCAGTCGGTATACATGTGTTTGTGTATATTGTGAGAAAAGTACCTGACCGATAATCAGAAACGGCTTCTGCTTAATTTGAAGAAGGGTCTCTTGAACTGCAATTTTGCAACAAATCTGAAGTAAAAAGAAGCTTCCAACAGATCACTTTTTTTTACCGTAGACTTGCTGCAAGTTTGTGCGTAGTGCTTATGAAGAAAGAAGAGTCACTTTTCTTCTCTCTACGAATTTCTAACATCATCAATTGTCTCTTTAAAATATAAGTAAACGCGATTCGGAACTTGTTGGCTCCCAAAATTCCAACTGGTAAAATATTTGTTGAATAAAGTGTGCAGAGAAAGCTATTTTTACAGGGTCATGTCATTTTTTCCGAAATTGACGGAAAATAATAATAATAATAATAATAATGTGTCTGTTTAGATCGGATGAAAATTGTAATTTAGTTCGTTAAAAATTACAATTTGGACGGTTGGGATAAAAATGTCTGACACATATTTACACCCTAATTGTCAAGTTTGCCCTCAATTATTGAAGATATTGGACGTATTTATTAATTAATTAAAATATTTTATTTACTAAATAATATATTATATTAATTAAATATATTAAGGTGACAATTATACAACTAATTATCACATATGCTTATGTATAGGTCACAAATGCATACTCATAGGTCACAATGTCACATATTATCAAATTAATTGATCACAAATTATTTTCTCGATCACATATTATTTCATCGATCACAAATCAAACAATTTATAGATTACAGTTTATTCGTCGATCATAGACTTTCAAATTAATTGATCACAAGTTATTTTTAATAGCATACTATCAAATTTTTAGATTACAATTGAATACTTGATCACAAATTAGCCAATTTATTGGTCATAAATTTTCAAATTACATAGTTACGGATTATTTTTTACTCACATATTATCAAATTTTCGGGTCACATTTGAATATGTGGTTACAAATTATACAATTTATTGGTCCCAAGTAATTGGTCACAAACGCCACCATTCCATCCTTACCCACGGCCATCGCCACTATTCGCACCAACAAAACAACATGCCAACTTTCCATCATTGTAGCACCATTGTCACCAAAACTTGCGCCACCAAAGGTTCAGCCATGCCTCTGACACCACCAGCTTTCCATCTCAACCACACCAAAACAACAATTCCACCCAAAAAATCCCCAAAGCCAGGGTGCCGACCACCAAAAACACGACCACCGTTGCAACACCGACGCTCACGCCGCCCAAAATTGGCACCACAATCACCACCGCAACCTCACCGCCAAAGCCAGTAACCACTACCACCAGCAAAACACACAACCAAAACTACACTACAAACACCACAAAATAAATTTCACAGCTGAAGACCATCCCAAAGACATGGTTGAGCATCGATATACGCGGGGCTCAAATCGTTGCGGCAACGAACGGAAGCGCACAACTCACAGCGTCACTACTTGATGGCCGGTGGTGACATTGCTGTGCCACAGATCCTTTTCCAGAGGAGATGTTGTTGAGAGAGAAGAGAGATCAGGGAGAAAAGAGTGACTCGTGTGTTTAGAGAGAGAGAGAGAGAGAGATGAAGGAGACGATATGGGGGAAGGGTTAGGTTTTATGTGTTGGACCGGGTGGGTAAATAATAGATGGGATAGTTTTTATATTGGCTGAATTATTGAGCTTATTTTCAACAATAGCCTTTTCTATAAAAAGTACTATTTTACCATTACTAAAGTTATTTGCAAGATGTATCTTATATCTTTAAGAATTTATCAATCAGGACATATATCTATATTTTTCAATCTTTTGAGCACCTTTAAATATTCTTTATATTTTAATAGTTCTTCAAAGAATATAGGTTGACCTTTCTTGGTTATATATCCTTTAAATAATTCTTCTGAAATCTCTTCTTGTATATTTCTATGTTTGGTTATGATAGCTTCTACCTTTCTTATTCCGTTACTAGTTCCTACAGAATCAAATCCTATATTATTTCTACAATTATAATCTATATCTCTATATATTTCTTCAATTTTTTCTTTTCCAACAGGAAATGTATCATCAGATTTTTCTTCTAATCTAAGTAAAAATGAAACATCTTTTTCATCTAAAAATAAAATGAGATTATTATCATTAGTGGATGTGGATGCTTGTGAATTGTTCATCAGAATAATTAAAACATAAGCATGTAAAAATAATTAAATAACTTACAGTAACCAAGTGGAAATAAACAGGCTTTCCCTCCATTATGCTCTTATAGATGCTTTGCATGTACTTAATCAATCTTCTGAATCAAGTAAAGATTTCAAATGTTTTTTAAAATCATTTGGGTCCACAACTGCTTCCGCAAAAGGTTTTTCAATTAAGGTTGCATTTCTCACTCTAGAGAACTAGCAGTGTTGCCACATACGCTATCTCACAGTATCCAGAGTCTCTGTTTTCACCTCTATCCAAACTCTTTTCAGAATCAAGTTCTTACTTAGAATGAAATTTTAAAAGATAACTCACACACAAGGTGCTACAATTTTGTTAGAAAACTGTCTTTTTCCCCTAAACAATTCATCAAAGATGGGTACTTTGGCATGGTTAACATCCATTCAAAATCAATGTTTTGAAAATCTTTTAAAATCTCTATCTGTACTGTTGAGGAATCATGAGAAACTTAACGAAATCCTTTTATGAGAGCTTTGTTGAACATAACAAACTTTACTTTGATATTCATAAACTGAAATTGTACATGCTTACAAAACTATATTTACATACCTTTGGTACTCACCTTATGAAATTTAGAACTCCATAAGTGATTACCTTATTACACGCTTTTTACTATCTTCAAGCTATCTAATATTTTTTTGAATACAAGTGGTGTTTACAGATTACAAAAGATTTCTCTCAGATATGTTTAAGAGATAAGCTATTTCGAGATGTCTTCCTTCTTCCTTCATGTCCCTTTTTATAGGAGATTTTGGAATCTTATCTTGGACAGGTGTTTTCCACCTTTCTTTGTTGGGTAGTTAGGCCATCTTATCTCCACCGAATTTTCCATTATCTTCTTGCTAGTGGACCTCTCCTTTTAAAATTGGATGCCTTGTCTTTTAAGTTTGTCTACCACTTGTATCAATTGGTTGAGTAGTTACAATAATGGAGACTTTTTCTTCCATTATTTCCTATATCTTTAGTAGCTACAGTTTTTCTTTAATAAATTTCTTTATTAAAGTAGTGATAAAGGGCTACTTTAGTCACCATCATTTTTCCATTTTTGATTCAAAGAATTCTGCAAGGAATTCTTCATCATTAAGGGATGCTTGACTCATATCGTCAACTACACAGTATTCACAATGGTGATCACTGTAATTCCAAAGTAATTTGCATAATTCTTTAGCCATATCTTCTGATCCATGCACTTGGTTGGAAATAATTGCAGATAATAAATGATCCAGATAACAAATATCTTCTTCCTTGGTGGCCATCCTTGCATTGGAATAGATAATAT